GTTCCAGCATCCGTGTGGAAAGCAGGCCCCAGGTGGGTTCTGGGAATCCCAGTGTGTGCAGGGGGAGGGCCTGGCAAACAGGGCTTTTAGAGCCTCGCAGGAACCTGTGGTGGGCCAGCCAGGCTCCTTTCCCTCTTTCCCAACGCTGGAGATAGTAAAGTGGGGTGGAGGGCACATCAGGGTAGGGTGGGGAGGTGGGGAAGGACTGACAGCCACAAACCCACCTGCAGGGTCTCATTCACAATCGGAGAGACAGCGTCCAGCTCGCCCACCGGGAGGGTTTGGGGTGTGTATCGGCCCGTGACCAACAGTTCGTAGAACCGCATGCGGGTTTCCCCTGTGGAAAAGGCAAGGGTGGGAGGACTCAGCGAGGCTTCAGGATGGGGCAGTCCCCACAGATGGTCATCCTTGTGGGTCTCTTGTGCCTGAGACCCCAAGCCTGAGGAAGCTGTGTGACCCTGACCAAGTTCCCATCTCTTTTTCTTTGTACCTAACTCAGGAGTCCTGTCTGTTCCATGAAGCTACTAAACTGTATGAGTTTTCTGATCTCAAGATTCAGAATTTAAGGCCTCATGGGGCTGGGACTCCCCCAAATATAGATATGCCACCCCCAACACAAAGCCCCTTCCTGTCACCTGGGCCATGCCGCCCAAAGAGTCAGGTGATCCCTGTCCTCAGGCTTTCCCACTTAACAGTCAGGGCCTTGTACCAAGTGCATAGGAGACCCAGTGACAGTTTATTGTTAACTCTCTGGGGCCAGGTGACCAGCAGACTTTGTAAAATACACTCTAGTACCCGGTTAACGTGAACTCCGCATACCTCCTCCTCTGTCCCACTGAGCAATGTCTGGTAACCCTCCACCCTCAGCAGAGAGAGGCCTCTATAGACCAGGGGGCTGATTATCGATATTTATAGAGCCCTCTGAGGCAGCTGCTTACATATGCAAAAGAGACGCATTCCTTGAGTTACTCTTCACCGGTCTCTTTCTTGAAATACAAACTTAGTGGCAGTCTCTAAGGACCTTTTTTTTTTTTTCCTTTTCTTCTTTCTCTCTCTCTTTTTTTTTTTTTTTTTTGGCAGAAATGAGATTTTGGTTGAGGGCTAGCTGCTCTTTAAAATGGGCACGTTATGGGGGAGGGGGCTCCAGATTTGATTCTCAGGGAGAAACAGCTTGCAACCACCCAGGGGGTATGCAGATTTGAAAGGGCCCACACTCCCCTGACAGCAGGTGAGAAACTAGAGAGGGAGTGACGGGAGCTGTGGTTTGGACAAGAACCTGGGCTTGCAGCCTGGAGGAGGCTTAGAACTAGGGACAGGCTGGGCAAGGATCTGTGGGATAACTGTGCCCACTAGGAGCAGCAGCCCTCCACCAGCAGCAGCAATGTCTTAAAGACTCAGTCAATATGTATGCATTATTGAAACAAAAAAGGTTTACATTCTCCTGTCTTGGGTTTGGTGTGCTGGGGTTGCCCCTAAACCTTGTGCTCATAAAACCCCTGGAAGCTACCCACCAAAGCCCTCCCAGACAAGGTCTCCCCCAGGGGCTCTGGACCCAATAGTGTCTGCCCAGTCACAGGACTGGCAGGCCTCAGAGCACATGGCACTTTCTTCTGTATTGGTGGGAACTTCTCTAGAGAGTTTGGCAAACTTTGGGGGATGCCCTAGAGTCCTGCAAGCTCCTCCAGCCAGCCCAGAGGAGGAGCTTCCCAGGACCCTGAAGGTAGAAGGTATGGGTTCCCCAGCCAGGCTCTCCCAGCAGCCGCTAAGAGGCTCAGAGTGAGCACAGAGCAGGATTCCGGTGCATAGGAGGTGGTGCTGTCTCTTTAAGAGAGAGGAGGGAAGACACAGTGTCAACCCTTGAGCACCCAGAGCAGCCCGCCCAGCTCTATCGGGAACATTATCAATGAAACTGCACTGTGGGCCCAGATTGGTTCCCAGTTCCAGGGGGAAGGGGCGGCAGGTGGGGGCAGGGGAGGGGCACCTTGGATCCTTGGAAGACTCTTTTTAGTGGTGGGACCTACTCTCTGTGTATTGAAAGGCATCCTAGTGGCTCTCTCTCAACCCCCCAACAAATAAACAAACCCTGCCTCCTCCCCTAACACAGACAGCAACACTGGGGACTGCCTAAACCCAAGCCACCAGGGCTCAGAGAGGGGCCCGCGGGGGTGTCAGCGGTGGGGAAGCCTCCAGGTGGTCCCTAGGGGTGCAGTGGTGCAGTGGCCAAGGACCGGCACATTTGGTAAATTATAGCTTGTCTCCTAGCAACAGACAACACATTTAGCTCCATGTGACTCTACCCTCAGGAGGGGGCAAAACAAAAATAAGGTTGTAGGGGGGCACCCAAGGAAGAGTAAGGGGCTCCCCAACACTGCAAGAGGGAATCTGGGAGGGAAGGGGGTCACACCAACAGGTCTTGTGGCTCCTCCGCGGTGGCCGTCCTGAGCCAGCTCCACTCACCTTTGGTGTCCAGCTCCACGTGGATGATATTGCCCATGACCGAAGTGCTATGCAAGTGCTGAACTGCCTCCTTGGCTCCCCTGACCGTGGCAAAGACCACTTTGGCAATGCCCAAGTGCTTCTTGGTCTTGGGGTTGTACAAAATCTCCACCTCCTCCACCTCCCCATACTTCTTGCACATGTCCCTCAGGAAGTTTTCGCGGATGTTATCATTCAGCTTGGCAAATGTCACCTGCTTCGGAGGCACCGGGCCCACATAGAACTCATCGATCTGGCAGGGGACGAGGGGGAAGGGAGTTTGGAGAACATTGAAACCGAAGGGAAAACACAGCATTCCCTACTCGCCGCCCTTTAGGAAAACAATGAAGGGTAAAAAATTAAAAAAAAATTTTTGGGGAAAAAAATGCACGCGGGCGGGCCCGGGAAGCGGAGGATTAAATCGTTTGGAACGTGGAAGTCCTCTGGGTTCGAAAGGAAAGGGGAAAAAGAAACAGTTTCTCTTTCCCCACCCCCCATTCTGGCCTCCTCTTCCCTGCTGCCTGGGTAGGGGCGACCCCTTGGGCTAGGAAGTTGTCCTCCTAAAGCCACAAGGCTGGGAAGGGGGGCGGGTCCCGGGACTGGGCCCCCAGGCAGGTAGGAACCAGGCGGGGTTCCTAGAGCCCCCAGCCGGGTGTGCAGGACACTGTATCAGCGCCTTGATTACAGTTTCACCAAGTGTTAGTCTGTTTATAGTAGCCGAGAGGGGACACCCGTCTCGCAGCAATTTCCCCCTCCTCGCCAAAACCTCCCCCGCCCCGGACGGCGGGAACTCGGAATCCGGCTGGGCTCGGTCAGGACTGGCGTTATTTTCGAACTCGGGGAGTGGGGAGGCAGGGGAGGGACCGCGGGGCAGGGGGGAGGGTCCTACCTTGAATTTGGGCACCGATAGCTCCAGCTCCTTGTTTTTGGTCCAGATTCCGACAACCCGGGGGTCTTCGACAATTTCCACCGGGCGGTTGCTGGACATCTGTGGGGAGGAAGCGCGGGGAAGGGGGAGCGGAATGGGTGGGCTGGTCCTACTCCCCAGGGGCAGAGGCAAACCCCCCCCTTCTCCAGGCACTTGTCAAACTCCGGGACTGGGGACCCGGCTGACAGTTGGCCGGGTGGGGGGGCGGCCCTCGGGCCGCTCAGACCCCTTTGCCCCCACCCTCCCCGGCGCGGCTCGGGGGTGGGTGGGGGCGGCGGGGAGGCGCGCCGGCTACTCACCGCCAGACTGAAATGCTGCCCATCGTAGCGGTACAGTTTATGATGCCCCTTTTTCAAAGCCGGGTCAATCATCAACTTGTAACTTCTCCAATGGTGGTTCCTCCTCTCGCCCGAAGGGCCGGGCTGCGGCGGGGGCTGCTGGTGGTGGTGGTGGGGGGGGTGACTGTTCTCCATGCCGTTAACCCAACCTGAAAACGAGCAAGTTGTTGTCGTCTCCGCCGCGCCGGCGGCGGCGGCGGCAGCCGCTTCTACACACACGCGAAAGAATCAAATCGTCCAGCCCCCACCCCCTCCCACCTTACCAGCGCGCCCCAAAAGGAGCTGTCTCGCTGGCTACCCCCAAAATAAGAATGGAGACAGAGAATAACCCTTCCGGAGAATTAGACGCCCGCCCGCTCGGCCACCGTCTCGGGGCGGCTGCTAGGGGCTCCCGGGGGCCCTGGGTGCGGGCTGGCGGGGCCCCGCGTCGAGACTGCCAAGGCGACACCAGGGGAGTAGGGCG